CAGGAATGCCCCGTAGCACGGATGAGACTGGCTGCTGTCCTTGCCGGGGCCTGTCTGAGCAGGGTGCCTAGTGGAGATGAGACGGTGATGGTTTAGGTTCAGTCCCACCCGGGAAAACATAGCATGTTCTCTTCCCTTCGCTTGAAACTCAGGCAAAATTAAAAATATAAAAGGTAACAGCCCCCACCTCCAAGAACCCTGAAATATGCCCCAGCATTTAGTTTCAACGTAATTTTCCATAGCTTCATAACAATGACTTTTAGTAAACACAGAGGCTAATCAATAGATTGTTGGGAAGAGAGTTTAGTGACAGAAAACTGGGTGAGCTGTAACATAGCAAGTGCAAGAGCAGCCCCTCCGCCCCCACACCTTGTGCGTGACAGGAAGAGAACTTAAAGCCAACCGCTCCCATCCAGAGGGTCCCCGGACACAGCCTACACTCAGAGCAACGGTGAGCAATTGGATGCAGAATCAGACGGGAGAAAATTTGATGGATGTATCTGGGGGGAAAGTTGACTTTTTTTTTTTTTTTTCACAATTTCCCTGGAAAGAAATACTAAAGTTTTTAGCAAGCAACAGATGGTAAAGAGAAGTCTAGTTGTACATCAGCCACCATTAGTCATTTAAGATGTGGAAAATGTCATTGATATTCTCTTTACTTAAAGTGCTTCCTTTAATGCTTCATTTTAATGAAGGCAGAAAATAGTCGAAAGGTTCTATACAGCGTCGTCCGGAGTTTGCACCCCTCCTCTGCTTATTTTTGCTGCAAGTTGTAGAAACTGTAGAAGAGATAGTCTGCGTGAAATAAGGACAAGTGACAGAAAATCTCGAGTATCAGAGGGAGTTTGAACATCGTCTTGCCCCTGTCGGCAACTGGGAGCGTTCTGAGTGGGCAGCGAAGGCATTGAAGCAACGTTTTAGGAAAATGTCATCAGCCTCAGTCTGACGGATGAATGGGTGAGGTGGGGAGCGGGAGAAACTAGAAGAGGAGCGCGGATCTGCAGGCCACTGCCACCGGGAGTGCCGCGTATTTTTTACTATTAGGGGACAATATATCATAACGGTGATGAGGACGGGCTTTGAAACCAAATAAAGCCTGGTTCCAATCCAGGCTGTTCCCCTTCCTAATCATGTGACCTCGAGTTAATTATTTAACCTAATGCTTTGGTTTCCTCCTTCACAAATGTGGGTTTATTACCTAAAACCCCTCTCCCAGGCTGGTTGTGAGAATACGCGTCAAAGCCTGAGCACAGCACTCGGAACACGGTCTATCCTAAACAGAAGGGAGCTTTGGGGCTGGCCTGGTGGTGCAGCGGTTAAGTTTGCATGTTCCGCTTCTCGGCAGCCCGGGGTTCCCCGGTCCGGATCCCAGGTGCGGACATGGCACCATTTGGCATGCCATGCTGTGGTGGGCGTCCCACATACAAAGTAGAGGAAGATGGACATGGATGTTAGCTCAGGGCCAGTCTTCCTCAGCAAAAAGAGGAAGACTGGCAGTAGTTAGCTCAGGGCTAATCTTCCTCAAAGAAAAAAAAACAAAGCGGGGAGCTTTTTATTATGGCTATTGTGTCACTTGTGACATTACGGAAAACCTTAGAAAAGTCTTTTCATGTGGCCAACAACAAGAACAAAAATGTCCCCAGATACACCCACCTACGATCTCCTTTTTTCATACCAGCTCCCTGTCAGAAGGAAGCACAGATCTGTGTTGGTCGTGCCCTGGTTACCGCTAACCAAGCTCAGTCCTCCCCGACTCCGCGAGTTTGTCCCCAAGGAGACTCAAATAGCAGGCAGAGCAGCCCCCTGCACGGGCTGAAAACCAGCAGTCCCGAAGCGCGGGGCCAGAAGCAGGGGTCAGGCCTGGACCCGCGCTGGGCCGCTAGTCTCCCAGGAGCGCCCAGGAGAAAGCTTGTGCAATTGTGCTGGCTAGGAAAACTCAAACAGGGGCTCAAGTTTTCAGGCCCAGGGAGAAGGATGAAATCATTAGTTTCACAAACGTTTGAGGGTTGAGTGTCCATTCTCTCCCTGAATCTCAGAGCAATGGATGCAGATACCAGAGTCAGCTACATCGATGACACAGCAGACACTCCGATCAGAAGCTCCGGGGCTGTTTGCAAAGCTGAAAAAGGTAACCATTTCTAATTCTAGCCGGAGGCTGGTTGACCTAGCACCAGGCTCTCAGATAAAAACTGGGAAAAAGTCCGTTAAGAATCCAAATATCATTAAGTCATTTAAACTAAATATCCAGACATTTAGTAACTTAAACAGTACAGTAATGTTTACTGGGTAAATATTCGCCCAAAATGATTGAAATTTGCATTTGTTTATTTACTTCTGTTTTTAAAACTTGTTAGAAAACCACCACCATCGTATCAGAAGTGCCTGAAGAACAGACGGAAGAGCCTTGGGGCCCTGGACAAGTAGAAGACCCTCTCCTCAGGAAAGAGAAATACTTGGGCCTGGTGACCTCATAGTTCGGTTAATGCAGTGTGACTTCAAGCTAGCTGTGGGCATGCTGGCTCAAGTCAAAGAGAATCTGGCTCTGCTGTGGAGGGAGGCACTGGCGTCCTCAAACAGTGGTCGGTGGAGGCCAGGCATTGCAGTGTAATCAAGCATTCATTCCCTCAACAATCGCGACTTAGTGGAAACTACCTGGTGGAAAGGCTGGGAGAAGGCAAGAACGCGGAGCACAGTCTTTGCTCCTCCCCTGGGCTCAGTCGGCAGGGCAAACAGGAATAGTTATAGCAGGAGGCTAAGGGACACAGGGGCACCACGGCTGGTCTGTAAAAAAGGACCAGAAGCCAGATTTCCTCCCCCTCCCGCTTTATTTAAAGCTCTGGGAGTAAAAACCCTCTGAGCCTAAGGTCCCTCATCGGTGAAAGTGGAACTGAAATACCTAATCGGCCGAGTTACACTGAGTTCTGAAACGTGTCTAACACGTGGTGGGTGACTGCTCTGTCGTTTATAACGATTATTACAGCAGCAGAGCGGCGGACGAGGCCTGCAGAGGGCGTGGCTGCAGGAGCTGGAAAGGCTTAGCGGAGAAGGTAGCGTTTGAACTGAATCTCAAGTAAGATTTTAATGTCGGGTTCACGGGCCTCTGTGGAGTTCAGGTTACAGGCCTCAGGGAGTGTACGAAGCCTCTGAAATTGGGTTCCAAACTTTATGTCGTGTGCACTTGTAGTTCCGGAGGGGCAGAGGCTCCATGGTTTTCAGCATGTTCTTAAAAATTAATGGTCGCCTCCAAAGGTAAGAACCACCTATGCTGGTCTGAAAGTATAATTAGAAGTTTGCCAGGTGGGCAATGTCAGAAAGGTCATTTCAAGCAGAGCAAACAGTTTACAAAAAACACGAACGTGATGCAGAAGCAAAGTGGCTCCGTGGATGTGCAAGCTGTGCAGCCCCACAGAATCCCGCGCTCAGAAGGGCCCTGCGCTCGGTTTAAGGCTGGCTGTCACTGCCTTCAACTTCTTAATGATCGTTTAACAAGAAGCCCTGCGGGTTTCCTTTTGCACTTGCAAATCAGATAGCCAGTCCCGAGAAGTACGGCATTTTCAGAGAATTCCCAACAGGTGGCGGGCATCGGAGCTGGAGGAGACTGGTGTGAGATGAAGTTAGAGGGAGAAGGACAGCCACCTGAAGGAGGTGACAGTCCAGCTAAGAAACTCAGAAATGGCTCCACAGGTGTGGACACAGGGAGGGACTTTACAAGTGAAGTGGCACGGCGTTTCACTGTTTCAAAGATCACTCTGGTGGCTTATGGGGGGGGGGGGAGATTAACAGCTGTGGACGATGAAACCAATGAGGCAGCTACCACAGTGGTCCAGGGAAAGAATAGGAGGGCCTGGATAAAACAGTAGCCGTGGGAAAGAGGAGGGGGAAGGTCAGGAGGCAGAACAACAGGTGGCCGGTTGGATGCGGGCTTTATGGAGGCGGCCAGCATGGCTATTATAGAGCAAACGGGAGGAGGAGCAGATTTTGAAAGAAAGATCATTAATTCAGTTTGGGACCATGTTGGGGTATCTTTGGGTGTTCTAGGTCAGGAAGTCTGCTAGGCAGTTGATGTTTAGGGAGGGGCAGTGGGAGAGAGAGGGCGGGAGGGAGAGGTCTGAGCTGGAGTGGGAGAGTTCTGAGTCATCAGCAACGGTGGGAGCTCTCCTCCCAGGGAGTCAGAACGTCGAAGACCCAAGCCCGGAACTCTGGGAACACAAGCGGAGGGGAAGGAAGGAGAGCCTGAGAGAGACTGCGCCGTGAAGCCAACGGACCGAAGGGCTCAGGGGAAGCCAGAGGTGCACAGGGGCAGGGCACACTAAGGAGAAGCCCTTTCAGAAGGGACAGAGTGGCGGATTAGCCAGGGAGTTGAAATAAGATGAGAGCAGAGCCAAGTCCTGTGGGGCTAGTTATGGGATGGTCACTGGTGATCATTAGCAAGAGTGACGTCGGGAAAAGCCAGGCGAGGAGTGAGGGAAGGGGAGAGCGGTGAAGACAGTGAGCGTGGACTCCTCTCTCAAGAGCCTCGGCTCTGAGAGAAGGGAGAGAGCGCACTGGAAAGAGACTCAGTCCAGGAAGCGGTTGTTGGTGTTCCGATTTGGGAGAAGGAGGAGGAGGAGGAGGAGGAGAAGGAGGAGGAGGAGGAGGAGAGGGAGGAGGAGAGGGAGGAGGAGGAGGAGGAGGAGGAGAGGGAGGAGGAGAGGGAGGAGGAGGAGATGGAGGAGGAGGAGGAGAGGGAGGTGAAGGGGGAGGAGGAGGGGGAGGAGGAGGAGGAGGAGGAGAGGGAGGAGGAGAGGGAGGAGGAGGAGCAGGAGGAGGAGAGGGAGGAGGAGGAGGAGAGCGACGAGGAGGAGGAGGAGGAGAGGTAGCAGGAGGAGGAGAGGGAGGAGGACGAGGAGAGGGAGGAGGAGGAGGAGAGGGAGGAGGAGGAGGAGAGGGAGGAGGAGGAGGAGGAGGAGAGGGAGGAGGAGGGGGAGGAGGAGGAGAAGAAAACTGGCGATGGATATTAGCTCAGGTGCCAATCTTTAAGGAAAAAAAAAGAATATTCTTCCCCTGGATCTCCAATGTGTCTGCTTCCTTCTCACCAGTCAAATCTTCCCCCTAGTAGTTAATATGCCTAAAATTATTATCTTATTAAAATTAGACCTGTGTATCTGTTTGTTTACACCTCTATTGTCTGTCTTCCCCCAGTGGAATGTGGGTTCCTTGCAGGCTGGGCCTCTACGTGCTTTGTTCCAGGTGTCACACTGCGTGGCACGTGATGGGCAGTAGATAAATATTTGGTGACTGGCGGCTGTGTAGGAATTGAGATGGCAGATGGTTTGGCTGAAGTAGGAACGTGGTTTGAAAGTAGCAGTGGAACGGTAGAATTTTTGCAAGAACCTATTCAGATATCACTTGTGTGCTTAAAAACGAGTAAGTGAACAGGAGCGGCAATGGGAAGCTAGGAAATATCGCAGCCAAAATATGGTGAATCACACAATTTTAGAATTGGAAAGAAGCTTAAAGAGCATCGAATCACAGTGGTCTCAGTAGACAGATTAGGAAATGGAGTCTTCTCCAGAAAGGTGACTGGCGTGGCCCAGTCCCACTGGCGGTTAGTGACCCAGCCCGAGCACACCTTCTATTGCCTTCCCCTGATTTTGAACTTTTTTGGAAACTCATTAGTTGTCTTAGAAATTAGTTGGGACATTCCAGATCTCTCTCTACGCTTTCTGAAGATTACAATGATCTCTTGCTGGGAAATAATGCGTGGAGTTTGCCCTCCCCTTGGCTCATGCCCCCCAACGTTGGAAGAGTGTGAGTGACGGAGTGCTTAGCTGTGCCTCGCATTGCAAAGCTTCTCTCCGTCTGAAACAATGGGGTCTAAGTGCCTCTCTGGGCTCCAGGTAATTATTTCCCTGTGAAGGCTCAGGTTCGGAGTGTCAGAACTGTATGAGGCGAGGAGACACTGCATCAGACTTATGATTCCTTACCTTTTTTTGGGGTAAATCTTACAGAAAGCAGTGGTCTATTTGTTTTGTAAAGGATCTAGCCCCGATCTGGAATAGAGAGAGAGAATGCCCCAACTGGCACTCAGCAAACAGGACGGGTGTGCTCCCCAGCCGTGTGGCTGTCCTGTCCTGCTCTCACTCAGCAGCAGGCGATTGTTCAGGGCTTCTTGGCCTCAGACCCAAGGGCAGAGCTGCCAGACAGAGGCGTTTTTCCCAGAAGCCCTTGGAAGGAGCACAATCCAAACTTGTTTCTAGAATAGTGAGGCGGCGAAACCCTCCCTGGCTGCCCATCTCCCAGCTCACGGCTGAAGTGACCTCAGTGGATTCATGGAGGAGGTAAATCTCACTCTGTAAAAACGCTAATATTCCGGAAAGGCCACACACTGACGGGACCATCCATCCATCCATTCACTCATTCTTGCAGCAAGCAACTATTGAGCACTTGTTTTGTGTCGGGCCGATGCTGGATGCCGGGGAACAAAGGTCTACAAATGAGTGGTTAGATCTTGACTCTGAGTGAGCTACTCTTGCTCCCTAAGCCCGGCTTCCTTCTGGTAACAGACTGTAATTCTAGAAGCTCAAAGCAATTCGTAATCAATACTTATTACGCAATATCACTTTTGCTAATTTCTTTGCACACGTTGGTTTCTTGCAGCCCATTTTCTCTTCAAAGATTCGTTTCTCTTCTTCCTGGAGAATGTCTTCTATTCATTCATTCTTTCAGAGAGTTTGTAGGTCATAAAGCGTCTCAGCCTTGGCAGCTCCAAAAATGTCTTTATTTTACTCCTGATACTGAACGGGAGATTGACTGAGAATACAATTCTAAGATCAAAGATGATTTCCTCAGCACTTTGATGATATCACTCCATTGTCTTCCTACGAGCCAGGTGGTTGATAAGCTGTTAGTCTATTCCTTGGTAGGCAATCTGCCGGTCTTTCTCCAATAGCTTTAGGATTTTCCCTTTATTTGTAACTATCACGTGTCTAGGCGTGGAGTTTTTTGTTTGGTTTTATTCTTTTCAAGACTCCACGGGCTCTTTTTTTTTTTAAGATTTTTTTTTTTTCCTTCTCCTCAAAGCCCCCCAGTACATAGTTGTGTATTTTTAGTTGTGGGTCCTTCCAGTTGTGGCATGTGGGATGCCGCCTCAGCATGGCCTGATGAGCGGTGCCGTGTCTGGGCCCAGGATCCAAACTGGCGAAATCCTGGGCCTCCGAAGCAGAGCACGTGAACTTAACCACGTGGCCATGGGGCCGGCCCTCCATGGGCTCTTAATATAAGAACTATATGTTCTAGGACATTCTGAGGTCTTTATGTCTATACTTCTCACCCCTCCCTTCTCTCCTTCTAGAATTCCTATTAAAGGAATATTAGAACTTCTGTATCTTTCCTCTATGATTCTTACCTTCCATATGATAGTGATTTTATTTCATGCTGTAGTCTGAAAGAATACTTAAATGAAATCTTTCTAGGTCACTAATTCACTCTTCAGTCCTTCCAAATCTTTTATTTAGCCTATCTACTGAAATTTTAATTTTAAATTTGTATTTTTTATACTAAAGGTTTTTTAATTGGTTCTCTTTTTAATAGTAGGGTTTTTGTAACTTTCTGTTTTTGTTTATTGGCTGTGATTTCAACCTTTCAACATACTGACAAAATTAAATGTACTTGTTCTAGAATCCTCTTCCTATTGAGTTAACTCTTTTTCCTGGGGTTCCAATCTTCTATTTGTTGTATTTATTGTTTCTCTTTAATAGTGTTGATGTTCCCCAAAGTTGAGTGATTTGGGGGGAGGGCGGGGCTTATCTTGTACAGCAACAGTTCTCCCTGCGCAAAGCTTGTCCTGGCTGGGCGCTCCTCGCTGGAACCCCAACAGCTTCCCTCTGTCGTCTTAGGAGTCTCCTGTCACCACCTCAACCTATTACTGTGGCCTCCTGTCTCCTTTCCTCCTTTTAGGGATCAGAAAGTATTCCCTTTCTCTTCAAGAGTGACTACACATGGGGCCGGCCCGGTGGTGCAGCGGTCAAGTTTGCATGTTCCGCTTCTTGGCGGCCTGGGGTTCACTGGTTCGGATCCCGGGTGCAAACATGGCACCACTTGGCAAAAAGCCATGCTGTGGTAGGCATCCCACATATAAAATAGAGGAAGATGGGCATGGATGTTAGCTCAGTGCCAGTCTTCCTCAGCGAAAAGAGGAGGATTGGCAGTAGTTAATTCAGGGCTAATCTTCCTCAGGAAAAAAAAAAAGAGTGACTGCACACTTATAGATTTTTATCTCTTCTATTGTCTCTATGTATAAGAAACAGAAAGGAGAGATTTCCGTGTGTGTTTACTCCACCTTCTTAAAACAGAAAGTCCACCATGGAGTTTGAGTTTTTTTCATCACAGAATTTTAAGCTGAGGAGGGAATGATCATATATGTGTTTTTGAAAAATTATTCATTTGGCGTGGATGGTGAACTCAAGATAAGCATAAAGTCTTAAAATAGGAAGTTGTGGCAATGGCCTAGATAAAAAATGATGGTGGTCTGAATGAAGGCCGTGCCAATGGGATGGAGAGAAGGGAGCAGATTCAAAAACTGTAGAAAGACAGGACTGGGAGCTTGGTTGGGCAGGCAGGGGTGAGGCGGGATTGTATGATAAACATCAGGTTTCAGACTTGCCCCCAAAGCTAAAATGGGATGCCATCCTCTGGGAAAAATTATATAGAAGAAAAAGCAATGATGAGAGATGAATCCAGTTTTTGACATATTAAGTCTGAGTTTGAGGTGCCCATAAATACAGATATCCATCTGTAAATGTCTAATTGGCTCTTGGAAATAAGGATCTGAGCCAGAGATTGGAACTTGGGAATTATTAGTACACAAATAATAACTGAAGTCCTCAATATGGAGTCAGTCAACAAAGGAGAATATGTAGAGGGGAAAGAGAAGAGGACACAGGAGAGAAACTTGGGTACCAGCAACATTCAGTGAATGATTCAAGGAAAAGAAGGCAGAGGGCTTGACGACCAGGAAAGCGAATACTGAAACATTCAAGGAAAGAGGTGTCGGGGAGGAAGACATTTCCTCTACCCACTCTAGGTCCTTCCGGCTGGACAACAGATTAAGTTGACATGAGACAGAATAACAGGAGAAAGTCAAACAAAGCTTTATAACAAGTATACATGGGAGAGACCCAGACTGAATTGGCGAGTTTACTCAGAAAAACTGAGTAACTCGCCAAAATGGCAGAGGTTCTCATCTTAAATACCCTCCTCAGCTAAAGGCAAAGGAGGATGTTGGGGGAGGGAGGAGTGAGTTATGGGAGATCACCAGAAAAGCACAGTAAACAAGAGTAAGGTTGTTATGCAGATGTAAGTCCTTGTTTTCTGCATTGATGAGAGTGTCCAGAGGTAAGGTCATCCCCCCTTCTTCCTGGTACAGAGAGGGAGACACCTTTTACAAATGGTCCTTTCCTTTACAAATGTGAATGTCTCTTAACAAAGGGTAACTTCTGCTTTTCAGAGTTTCTCTCATGTCTGCAGTTTTTAAAAGTTACCAGCCCAAAATGATCCTCACGCCAAAGAGGTGCATCTTGGGGTGGCCAATTCCAGTCCCCCACAGAGGGATTTCAGGGAGGGAGGGACCAACATTGTCAGTGATGCAGAGAAAACAAATTGGATAAGGGCTGAAAATATGCATTGCATTTGCCCACTACAAGGCATTGACATCCTTAACAAGAATAGTTGTGCATTTGGGGAAGTAAAACCAAATTTTAGTGGGTTAAGTAAGAAATGGAAGTTGAAAATAGAGAACACAAGGGAGGGACACTCCAGAATCTGGGCAATGAAGGGAAAATGAGACAGGGTTAGAAGGCTAGAGAAGACAGGGTCAAAGGAGGACTTTTTAAGAAGGAGAAATCTGAACATATTTATAGTCTTATGGGAAGGCGGACTTTGAAGATCTAAGAGAAGAGGAGTAGTGATGGAGCAAGGTTGTTGAGGTTGTCGGGAACGACACTATGAGCAGGGGTCTAGGAGTTGGCGCTGGGAAGAGGGAGGAACACCTCTTCCTCTGAGCTGAGGAAAGAACAATTAACAAAGAGTTAGCAGTGGAAGCGTCAATGGGGATCGCCCTCTTCCGCGAAGGGGGAACCGGTGCCCTCCTTGCTTCCTGCGACGTCTTCCAACCATTTCTCCTCCCTCCTTCTTCAAAAACCCCAGCTCTTTAGAAATCCATCCTTTCCTCCTGTTGGATAAAATAACCCTCTCCGCTCCCACCAAAGGTGAACTCCCCCACATCTGTTGCGCATGGCCATGCAATCACTTCCTGTGGGGTTGCCACCCGTCGCCATCACACTAAAGCGATCCAGATGCTGACGACCATCAGTCCAACTCCAGCCGTAAACACTCCCCACTACCCCAGACTCACACACCTAACTGCTTCTCGATATCTCCGTGTGAATGTCTAATAAACAGCTCAGACTTGGCACGGGCAAGGCAGAATTCTTCACGCCCCACCTCCCCAACAACCTGCTCTTCTCCTGCTTATCCATGTTCTCTCACTTGCTCTCTTCCCCACACTTAATCCATCTACAAGCCATATTAGTGCAAATTTTAAGACAAATTCCAAGTCAATCCACTTCTCTCCCTCTCTTCTCACGTCTCCCTGGACAATTGCAAAGGCACCCTGACTGCTCTGCCTGCTCCCTCCCTTCCCTTTCCACAACCCCTGGGTCACATAGCAGCAAGTTACCTTTTAAGTATAAGTCAAAGTTTGTCACAACCACACTTAAAATATTCCAATGGCTTCCAGTCCCACTGGGAATAAAATCTAAACTTCGTACCTTAGATTACAAAGCTCAACATGACCTGGCACCTGCCTACTTTTCCAGACTTAATGCTTGCTATTTCCCCCTCACCACTCTGCCTAGAACGCTCTTCCCTGGCCTTTGAAGAAGTAGACCTTTGGTTCATTCAGAACTCAGATTAAGCATCGTGAAACCATCTGATATGAAATAGCCACCAGCACTCTATCACGTCATCTTGTCCATTATCTTTCACCATCAACTTTTTAAAGTGTGTCTGTTTGCCTGTTTGCTCTCTGGCTTCCCCCCAGCCTCCAGCAAGAATAGAAGCTTCTTGGGCTCAGGAGCCTCAGCCTGATGCGCTGCTCTGACCACTGCCTCTGGAACGTCAGGTGCTTAGTGAATATTTGCTGCATGAAGACGGGTCTGCTGTGAAGAATGAGCTTGGGGGAAGGAGTAGAAAAGGAAAGGAGCATGAGGAGGACTGGGACATCACCTGAAGGAGAGCACGCTGGGCGGTGAGCGAAAGAAAATTAACAGGTTGCTGAACGGCGCAGGAGCGCTGAAGGCCCCTGGACTTGGCCCTCAACTTGGCAGTGACATCCATCTACTTTGCTCTGTGATTTTTTTCTCCCACAGGGTTCAAAAGTCCTGGGATAAGAGTGAAAAACACAGACGGCCTCTGTTTCTTCATTTGTAAAATGCAAGTGTTAACGTAGATAACCTTTAAGGTTGCTCCAGCTTTAAAAATCTGTGATAATTCAAACATACTCAGGAAGCCAGGTACTCAAAAAATCTTCTGTTAAGTGAATAATCAATGACTCCCCGTCTATTCTCTTGTCATTCTGAGTTTTACCCATTCAGTTTCCTTGATAGAATATCCCTTTTTACTTGTGGGTACACTTCCCCCCCAGCTTTATTGAGGTATAATTGACAATTAAGAATTGTATAAATTTGAGGCTGGCCCAGTAGCATAGTGGTTAAGATCGCATGCCCCGCTTAAGCAGCCTGGGGTTCGCAGGTTCAGATCCCAAGCACAGACCTAGCACTGCTCATCAAGCCACGCTGTCGTGGCATCCCACATAAAATAGAGGAAGATTGGCACAGATGTTAGCTCAGGGCCAATCTTCCTCACACACACACACACACAAAACTGTATAAATTTAAGATGTGCAGTAATGATGATTTGATACATTGTGAAATATTCATCACAACCAAGCTAATTAACATATCCATCCCCTCACAGTTATGATTTTCTTTCTTTTGTGTCTGTGTGTGGTGACAACGCTTAAGATTTACTTTCTTAGCAAATTTCAAATATGCAACACAATATTGCAAACTTTGTCACGTTGTTCCTGGCTCTACTTTTTAAATGTTTTCACATGCATCCGAAGTGTAGATGAGCTTACTTATATCTACATATTTTCATTTTGATTTGGCATAGATACACCTTCTTTTTCCCTTATAATGTAAATTCCTGAAGGGCATATTCTGTGTTTTAACTGTTTCATCAAACTTCCCCCGTGACCATAACAGCAATGTCACTCTGACAACTGGTACTCAGTGAAAAGAGGTTGATTATGTCAGACTCCATTAGTAGAAGAAGTGGTACAAGGGGCAGGGGCCCAAGGGGATGGTGTGTTATACAAATGGAAGGCATCTCCAGCCAGAACCCTTGGCACAGGAGAAGCTTAAGTTTGCAGATTAAGAGGTAGTGTTTAATGCGGCTGCTGGAGAGCAGCCTGGACTGCGCTCCTGATTCGGAGGGAACAAATATTCCAAACACCAGGCAGGTTCCTATTCTACAGTTATGCTGAACTTTTCTGTTTTTCAGTGCTATTGTATATAAATGCATGTATAACATATTCTCATATCTTTCATTGATTTATTCCCTTAATCTTTGTTAAATGTCTATAATATGCAAGACACTGTGGTAAGGGCTAAGGAGAATACAAACGAATGAAATACACATCCTGCCTTCAAAAGCAAAAAGTAATAGGAGGAAGAAAAATGTCCACCAACCTCACAGCAGGCTGTGAGGTGCTTTGGAAGTTCAAAGGAGGGCGAGCTCACCTTCGGCTGGGAAAGGACTGGACTCACTTCACGGAGGAGCGGGTGTGGGGTTGAGCCTTGAAGGAAGGATGAGCTTTCTAAAGGCACAAACGGAGAGGTGGGAAAGCTGCTCTGGGCTACGAGGGAATGGAAACTATCGCACGGGGAGGGCTTCAGCTCCTCACCAGTGTCACTGCAGAGGGTAAAACTAGGGCCAAGGATGAAAAATTTTAAATTTCAGTTTAATGTCAAACTTTTTGGCAAGTGGGTATCAAGCCCCTTGTGTGCCAGAAGCATTTCTTCAGTGGATGAAATGTTGGACCAGGTCTGTGTTTTCAAACTGAGTAGTGTATGGATTCATTTTAAAGGAAAAAAATTCTCACAAGTCACCAATATTATTTAATTAATTAATTTATTTAATTTCTATTTTTATTTATTTTTTTGCTGAGGAAGACTGGCCCTGAGCTAACATCTGTGCCCACCTTCTTCTACTTTATACATGGGATGCCTGGCACAGCATGGCTTGACAAGTGGCGCATAGATCCACACCTAGGGTCCAAAGTGGCGAACCCCAGGCTGCTGAAGCAGAACGTGTGAACTTAACTGCTGCGCCACTGGGCTGGCCCATATTTTATAATAGTATTATTTTAAAATGGTAAATACGGGGGCCGGCCCTGTAGCCGAGTGGTTAAGTTCGAGCGCTCCGCTTCGTTGGCCCGGGGTTTCACTGGTTCGAATCCTGGGTGCGGACATGGCACCACTCATCAAGCCATGCTGAGGTGGCATCCCACATGCCACAACTAGAAGGACCTGCAACTAAAAATATACAGCTATGTACCGGGGGACTTTAGGTAGAAAAAGGAAAAATAAAATCTTTAAAAAACAAACGGTAAATACAAGCTTAGACGTAAACTCGTGACTATAAATCTTGTGCCACACGGAAACAAAGATAATTGCAAACATATACAAACACAAGTGCAAAGCAAATAAAAGTCAGATTAACAACTTTAATTGAATATAACACTTGGTTTCTTTTTTTTTTTTTCCTTCTTCTCCCCAAAGCCCTCCAGTACATAGCTGTATATACTTTTTAGTTGTGGGTCCTTCTAGCTGTGGTACGTGGGACGCCGCCTCAGCATGGCCAGACAAGATGCGCTGTGTCCACACCCAGGATTCGAACTGGCAAAACCCTGGGCTGCCAAAGCAGAGCACACGAACTTAACCACTCGGCCACGGGGCCGGCCCCAGTTGGTATCATTTTGCTGAAACAAAATCACTCTTCACACAAGAATATAGTACAGCTGGCCCCTGCCTGGCATGTCCCGGCCACGGCTGTAAAAGGTCAGTTTTTCTGCTGCTTTTCTCGTTCAGACTTTATCTTTATGTGAACAGGCCAAGGCACAAGGTCCGTTGATGCTGAGCCTTCACTGGATGCGGATGATTCATTCCCAGATTCAGTCCATCTCTCTGCTAATTAGCCTGGGAAAGTGAGGCCCCCCACTCGCTGCCCGTAGCAGTCAGGACGCCGACAGAAGGCAGAGGGCACGCTCAGCCCGGCCAATCTGAGGACAACTCTCAGCTAAGCTGTGTGTTGGGGGCGGGGGGGGGGGGGCGGGGGCTGGTGCCAGGTGGGCTGTGTGGGGAATGACCAAGAAGGGCAGTTACCCACTCTGTCCGAGCAGTCTCGTTCCCCCTCCATCTCCATGCTGCGGCTCTGCTCTTGTGTCCAGCTTTGTGTCAGGGGCTCTGGGGAATAAGGTTAGTGACGTATGGTGCCATTCTTGCACTTGGGGAATTGAGCTGAGGACACAGCACTAGCATCCATGAAATAATTGTAAAAACATTAAATAGGAAAGTATATATAGTGTGAAATACACGGTAAGTATTGCAGATCAAAGAAAGGCAAAGTCTTCTTGGGTTGAAGTATTCGGGAAGACTTCAGGGGAAATTTGAACTGGAATTTGAAGAATGGTTGGATGTAAACAGAAAGGAAAAGGGACAGCATTGCAGGACTGGGGACACTGTGTGTGAAGGGAGAGAAGTCAGGCTGAGTGGCATGTGTTCAAACGACGAGACGATGAGCTGGCAGGATCAGGATAACTTGCTGAAGAATAGTGAGAGAGACGTGTTTGACGAGTACATGGTGGAAGGACTTGAGATTTATATGTCAGTGTTAATATATTTACTCTCAAAATGTACATGAGGGGCTGGCCCCGCGGCCGGACGGTCAAGTTCGTGTGCTCTGCTTCGGCGGCCCAGGGTTTTGCTGGCTCGGATCCTGGGTGTGGATATGGCACTGCTCATCAGGCCACGCTGAGGCGGCGTCCCACATAGCACAACCGGAAGGACCCACAACTAGAATATACAACTATGTACTGGGGGGATTTGGGGAGAAAAAGCAGGGGAAAAAAAAAAAAGAAGATTGGCAACAGTTGTTAGCTCAGGTGCCAATCTTTAAAAACAAAAAATGTACGTGAGATGAATTAGGTGCCAGTAATTCAAAAGCTTCCTGCTTCCTGCCACGTGGAAACGTGAGGACGAGTATCTTAACCCCTGGAGAAGTGTTGGTCGAGACAGAAACTAAACATCCTTATTGTTCTCAAGGGGCTCCATCCTCGAGGAGGAAACTCGCACGGACATATCCAAGGAGGATGAAGACTTATTTCTACTTGCGATTCCCTCACCAACTCTCTCCTTTACAAGAAAATTGCTGCATTCTGATGGGATTTCTTTGTAATGGTGAGCCGCAACTATCATCATCGGATTTCAGAGGCCCCCTGTGGGTGATGATGACTGCAAGGTACCACAGGGGAGAGCGGAGTCCCAATAGGTTCTTTATTATGGAGTTTCCTGCTTATCCTGCTTCTATTTTTAAGGAAAAATAACTTTTATTTTCCTATTACTAGATTTTTATGTGTTGAATTTGGAAAGAAACGTAAATACAATAGACTCAAAGAAGAAAATTCAAATTATTCCATTGCTTAAGTTACCACTTGGTGGATATCTTTTCGCTCCTTTCCCACTGCATACATAAGCAATTGTCTTATTTACCAAAAGGAGACGATAGTGGTTTATTCTTATACTGAAACATGGATTTTTTTTCACTTACATCATAAACATACTACCATGGATTGAAAAGTCGTTTGCACATTCTTCCCTTGGCTGCCTGGTATCCCACCCTGTGAATGTGTCCTTGCATTTAGTCAGTCTCCTAGGGTTGACAATGTGTATTCTTTGTCTTTTCTATATCACAGCGACTCTACCATAACAACTCTGAATGTCTTTGCAACTAAAGCTTTGTGTGCGTTCTTATTTCCTCAGGATAAGTTCTTATAAAGAGCACTTCTGAATCAAAAAAACATGCACAATCTTTGGTGCCTGGTGCTAGCCTGCGCTTCAGACAGGCTGCAGCCCGCTGTACACAGCAGAGTGCCTATTTCTCTGCGACTTCACAAGTCCTGGATTTTTTTCGGTTAAGGGTGAAAATAGATAGCGTCTCTGTGCCTCACTCCGCAGCTCCTGACTGCTGGGGAGCTGTCCCTCTCCCATCGGCCTCTCTTCTTGTCTGTCGCTGTTCACAAGAGGCCGCACGGGCAAGTGGTCGGGACGATTGGTTCCACTC